AGAGCGAGTCCCTCACCACCCCTCAATCCCAGCCCCGCTCCCCGGCCCGGCCCGCCGGGAGCGCCCGTCCCGCGCATGCGCACCGCCAGCCACGCCCCCGCCGGGCCCGCAGTGCGCGTGCTCCTCGCTGGGCTCGCTGATTGGCTGAGGAGGGAGAGGCGGCCGCAGCTGATTGGCTGGGCGGTGCGCGCTGCGGCCGTTGTCCCCTTTGAACGCCGGGCCGCGGGGTCCCAGTGCCGTCATGGCGCTTGTGCGCGCGCCGTCCCGCCGCCACCTCCACCGCGATGGGAGCGCTGGTACGTGAGGAGAGGGGATGGAGGGAGCGGGGACGAGCCCTTCGGCGGTGCCCGGGAGGCCGGGACCGGCCTCAGTGTGTCCCTTACTGTGAGGAGCAGCCAGTAGCGCGATGCTGGAGGACCCTCTGAGTTGTGGCAGGGGTCCCCTTCTAAGGTAGAAGGTCCCGACTTCGTGTCTAGCTCTGGTATGCAAAACACGGTAGTGAACGTGTATTATGTATGTAGTAAGTAAAGTGGTGCCAAGCCTCTCTTGCCTCTGGTTCCGTAGTACAGCGCTGTAAGAGGAACGTACAGAGCTTGCCATGGCTGAGGCAGTGCTAGAGAGAGGGTTTTATGATGTACGAGTCTCTCGCAGTGAGATTTTGGCTGTAGATTTACCCTAGATGTGTTATCAGCATCAACTCATCGAAGCTCAAAACCCTGTCATTTACCTTCATTGTTCTTTGCTGTTCTGAAAAATCTCATTTCTAGCACGTACCTCCCTGCAAGGATCCCGTAACGTAAAGCCATCAGATGGAGTGGGAAGTTTGCTGTCCTCTGAAGCATGCCAAGGGATTAGGAAACAGAAGAGTAAGTAAAAATTGTATAGAACACAATGATATCTTTAGGTGCTACAATTGTTAGTTGCTGTTACTGCTCTGCTGTTCAGAAATTGGTTTCTGTTGCAAAGACTCACTGCCTACCTTTCAGCTCAAATTAGCAGCTGTAAAAGCATCTATTGGAATCTTCCAAAAACAGCTTTATATGTGACTTCTGCTAACTAGGGGGACCTCTGGAGGTCTAAAAAACTACTTATTAGCCTAGGGTTAGAGATATTTTCATGCATTTTTAATATCTAAAGCATCCCTCAGTTGAAAACTGGCATTATGGATCTGGATCATGGCAGGGAAACTTGGCAGAAGTGGAAATATCAAAGCTGTCTGTCACCTAGTAGTCTCTCTCTAAACTTTGTCGAGTGCCCAGATGGCTAATATTGAACTGGTTGATTGCAGTAAAAAAAGTAAAGCTGGTATTGGGCTGTGAAGTTTATAATCTAACAACCAGGTGGAATAAATTAACCTTCTGTAGTTTGGTTATATTTGCCTCCCCATATGCATGCACACCCTCTTCCTTCACCATTCTCTTCTACATCCTTCTATAGATGAGACAAATCTGAGCAGTGAAAAGAGTGCACCCACCCCAGTAACTGCAAGGAGACTCACATCTCTTGGATCAACGGTAAGGCTCTGCTGTGGTGTCTGTAGCACTGTTAAATCCCAACTAAATCTCTCTGCTTAAACAATTCAGCCTTTTCATACATTTGTCATTGATCTACCCAAGTGAACTATGAAACATGTTGTGTCTGTGTTCCTTAAGACCTAAGCAGGAAAAATGAAATTGCTGCATCCTTGGGAATCGTGTGGTAATTAACTTGGGACTAGAGAGCAGCTTGTTATATTTGGTGCTACACTCTTGTGTTTTCTTTTCCTCTTGCTCACCATGTAATTATGGTGTGACTCCTTCTTTTCAAGGAGATGGTGTTTTGATTCCTGCTCTCATGGACTGGATAACACAGAGTGGAAACCCAGTGGTGAAAGAAAGAGGGAGGCATGATACTGCATGTACAGGTTCTCAATGTCCTGTGCAAGGATATGGATTTCAAGATTAATAGCTTAACAAGCTGAAAAATTATAGCCCTAATGTACTAATTAGGTTCATGAGTATTGATGATGTAGGATGAAATTGTGCAAACAAACCTGAGGTGAAGGTGTTAAAATGTTTTTATGAAGCTTAGGGGTGCTAAAGTCTCCAACTTTGTTAATGATCTTCCTGTCCCTATGTTTATGGGCGGTCCCTTCAAAGTAATGCTGATGAGAAAGTAGAAGGGTAAACCCCATCCTAGTGTAATAGTTTTCTGCCCTGTCTGGGAGAGACAAAGGTTTACCCTTTATTTGCTGTGTATCTTTGTTGTATTGTCTATGTGAAGAACCCACTCTTGTATTTAATTGTGTTCAGCTACTATGAAGGTAGAGATTCCTAACACATCTCTCTTTCAAAGCCGGCTAATGGGATTGTGAAGACTAAAAAAGATCTTATGCTTATGAAAGAGAAAAAGAAACAGAAGGCACTGGAGAAGGAGGTATGAATCCATTATGTTAATGAAATCCTGTCGTGTTTCCCACTTAAAATAATAAAAAATACAAGCTGGTAGAATTGGTCTCTTTTGCATTACACAGCATACAAGTAGTTTACAAACAGCTCTGTGCAAAAGAAAGATTATCAGATATTATGGTTGTACAAAGCTAATGGAATTGCATTAATTCCTGCTGATTATGAACAACTATTCTCAGTCTTTTCAAAAGCAGAACTAAGTCCTCTGTTGGCTACCCCAAAAAAGTTCTGTTTTGTTGAGCAGTCTCTAGCTGAAATTTTTTGCTCACTGTCGTACTTTCAATGCTTAAGAAACACCATAAACTGTATCAGTATGCTCCTGTCTATGCTAATTAATGCCTTGTGTCTCAAATGTCATATTCTACCTTTTTGTCTGTCACAGCCAAAAAGGAGACCTGGCTTTTGTTGCCCATTAAAGTTAAGACTATTCTAATTTTAATGTTGTACCAGCTCGGTACAATAAAACAAGTCAGATGAAACATTGCTGTTGTATGGTGTGTAATAACAGAATCATCACAATTCTGTTATTTCCTTCCTGTGAATGAGAGTTGCAGATGCATATTCTGAATATGAATGTGTTATCTGAAAGTAAATACAGTTTAGATACCTATGCCTGTGATTTACTTGGAGAGGCTAAACTAATGATAGTAGGAAATAAAGAAAATACCTCATGTTTTAGATTCGTGCATTAGTGAGAGAACGTGGAGAGCAGGATAAGAAACATCAGGCTCTGGAAGAAGATCTTGTTAAGATTGAAGCAAAGCTGAGTGCTGCAGTTCAGGAGAAAACCTCTCTTTCAGCAAATGTTGCATGCCTGAAAAAACAGCTTCTGGAGTTAACGAGAAGCAATGAACTACTAAAGTCAAAGGTATTCAGACAAAAAAGTTCATCTTGGCTTTGCCTTTGCTGTTATTGAGCTTTCTGTGCAAGAGGAAGCTTTAGTTGCTGATCAGCATCTGTTTTGATATAAAGCATGTCTGGTTTGGGATCTTGTGCCTTTCTGTCTAAACACAAGAGTGGGAGGGAAACACTTTGAAAGGGTTTTGTGAACAGCAATTCATACAAATATACACTTAGTGGTTTTATCTTCTTTTCTAACAAGCTGTCTGATGATGGAGTGCAGAAGAAAATGAGCAGCCTGTGCATGGAACTGATGAAGCTCAGAAACATGAGAGATGCTAAAGAAAAGGTATGACCATTTGCACAGGACAGTAATTCTGAGCTGCTCAGGAACAAAACCAGTGATCCTCAGTGTAGTTTGAAGCTCTTGGTGGTGGTAGTTGTTTCACAAGTGCCTGATATCTTTACAGAGGGATACTTGCAATCACATTCAGCATAGTAGCTGGTGCTATCATTAAACAGGAGTGATGATTAAATTTCAGTCACCACTCTCTTCCACAATGCCTTTTTTGACTAGGTCTCATTTTACTGTTGATGTGTGTTTTTTTTCTTTGTTTATTTAAGACTGCACTGGCAAAGCAGGAAGACATGGAAATGAAGCTGCAGGAAGTGCAAAGGAATCTAGAGCATTCAAAAGGAAAAGTAGCACAGTTACAAGAAAAATTGTAAGTATTAGGAAGGGAATTAGATGAGATGATATGACCTGGTGTTTCCATGCTTCTCTTTTGTAGTAATCAAAATTGAGGCTGTCTCCCTACTGAGAAGGAACAGATGCTATCAGTGTTTGTAATCTGAAATAAATAGGATGGAATGAAATTCTAACAACTGCTGTGGTTTGATGAAATGACCATAGAAACATTGTTTCTGTAGTGTATCTAACCTTTTTCCAAAATACAAACTGTATCATATCGACCCTTTGTCCTCCAGTGTGGAATGGATGAGGTTTTCTTGGTATGGGGTGGGAAGGGAAGACATACATCTTTGTTGTTCAGGCTGGAAGAGGACATTTGTATGGATGGGACATTTCTGGCTACTGAGTTAGGAATAAACAAGAATAGAAAAGCATTAAAGCAGGAGCTGAAATCCTAATTCAGCAGTCAGACATTTGGCATGGATTTGATGAATGCATTCATGTTCTCCAGAGAAGTGCTTTGAAGAGCCACTGTGGTGCCCTCAGAGCTGCTTTGATGCAGACATGTGCTCTGAAGAAAGGCGTCTGCAGAGTCTCTTGGTTTCAGCAGCTCTGTGTAGCTAGAGAGTGAGTTCCAATTTAGTACTTTCTATTCTGCCCAAGAAATGTCATGTGCTGCACAGGAACAGTGCACTAACATGTAGCTGTTGCTGGGGATAGTGACCTTCCAAGCTGTGTTGGCACAACTGGCACTGCAGCACAAGCTGGGCTGTTGAAATACACAAAGGTAATAATGCAGATAGTGCAGGTCAGAGAGGGAGGAGATGCTGAGTTGCTACAAAAGCTGTGTTATGTTGATGCATTATTATGTTTGTGGCATATTGTGGCAAAATGTGACTTAGCATCTTTACTACCATGAAAAGACTACCTGGAACAGGTATGAAAAGAAGGTAGAATCATGTCTTAGAGACAATATCAGTTTTTCAGCAAAACTGGGAGATGAAAAGTATGTGTTACTACTTAACTCTAATTTGTTTAAATATATCTGTTATAAAAACTGGTTTTAGGTCTGCTACTGAAAGAGAGAAAGTTGAAGAAAAGTCTGACACTGAAAAACTCCTGGAATATATTACAGAGCTCAGGTAACAACAAATTGCTCTCAAGAATGCAGTTTTCCTCTTGGAAACCAACAGTCCTCAACATTTTCCTTTGTGTTGATGTGTAAGCCTACAAACAAAACTTAGTGGTAACAAGTGCCTGAATTT